GATCATGATAATAGGACGGATCATGGCAATAGGACGGATCATGGCAATAGGACGGATCATGGCAACAGGGCAGACCAGGAAAATAGGGGGGCCGATTACGGGAGTAAGTCAGATCGTCATGAATTGGACATTGAAAGTTGGTTTGATATATGTGAAGACAGCACCTTAGTGTTTTCGAAGCCGGTGAGGTTTTACTATCTGGATGCGTTGGTGGAATACGCGGCAACTGGTACGATTCTGTCGGTTCCTGGTCATCTGATTCGGTCGAGTAGCTTCAATGATTTGCTGACGGCATCACACCTGCCCTTCCCTAATTTCTGCGAGGGCTGTCGCCGAAGGGTGTGGCCGTGTTTGCAGAACCGCACAGACCGAGATCGTACCTGTGCTGTGTGCACCAAGGAAGACAACCATCGCAGCTGTTGTAATCCCAATTGGAAGATCCAGCCAGTCGAGGGGCGAAGACTTGTACTTGTGCAAGAACAACCGGTTCCCGACGTGTCCTTGATCCCTCTGGACGACATGATTGAGGCATTGGCCGGACTGGACCTCAGTCAGGGCGAGCTCAAGAAGCTGGCCAATATACTTAACGAAGCCGAGCTCGACTCTCCCCCGGCCACCACAACCAATTCTACACCCCAACCCCTTCTTTCGCAACCCCTTCTCTCTCAACCCCTACTCTCGCAACCCCTACTGCCGGAACCTGCGTTGTCTCGGTCCCAACTGCAAGGGACCACGCAGCCGGGGACCCTGGCGCAGACGGGGACCCTAGCGCGGCCGGGGCCCTTGGCGAACGTCGTCTTTGGCCCGCTGGGGAACCGTGGCCCATTGGGGAACCGTGGCCCACTAGGGAGCCATGGCCCGGTAGGGAGCCATGGCCCACTAGGGAGCCATGGCCCGGTAGGGAGCCAGTATTTGGAGAGGGAAACGCAGCCCTTTGCCGGGCATTCGATTTCTCTCGGTGGTGCCTCGGTGGGTGCAGGCTCGACCGGTTCGGGCTCGTTGGGCGCCGTTTCCGTTGGCCCAGGTGCCCGTGCCATCCCGTCGTTTCCGGAGGAGGCCAAAGATGCGTCCTCTGTGGGTTCTTCGCCGCCTCCGGATATGACGGAGATTCGGAGCAAGCGGAAGCGAAGACGGAAGAAGGCCAAGGTGGGGGACGCAACAGAATTGCAAAAACGAGCATGTGTTCCGACTATCGTCGTGGAATGTGTTT